CTCCAATGTATCGATAGATTAGGAAATCTATCAATACAATTTCACAAAATGTCCCTCTTCTTTGAATCTAACGATACATTCTTAAATGTAACGATAGCAAACGTCTCTCATTGTTGTTCTTACCAAGAATATATTGATATATTTGCTCCAAAATGAGCATTTTCACCACTTCATACTTCCAAAATCCAAGTTTCAAACTCCTAAATCATTCCTTATTCAATCATACTTCAAAGTGCTATTATAATTCATAATTCTTATACAAATTCTCATATATGAGATCAAATTTCAACCTAAACTTAAAACTTTAAGATTCATCAATTAGCTTAGTTATTTCAGCACATGATCAAAAGTCCTTAAACACATTTATAAATTCAAAGTCATTCTCTATATACACATAAGCCTATTCTTAAGGCTTTAACCGTATTAACTATTCAAATGTTTAGCTAATATCACGTATGGTTCATATAAAGGTTAAGGGTGTTACACATTCAAAACTCATTAAAGTCAATCAATTTAGTCATATCAAAACAAAAATAAAGCTAACAAAAACATTATATGCTTGACCATATTTTTGTATATTAAAAATAAAAGAACAATTACTTTTAATTCATTTCAAAAAAAAAACTTAAATATACAACAGTTTCAAAACATGTAAACTGTGTAAGGTTTTACTTACCTTTATGTGCACCAACAACTTTGCTTTGCTCAAAAAAGTAAGCTTCAACTCCCCTTGTAAAGATGAATCCAGCTATAGTTTTTGATTTTTTTTTTTTTAATCTACAAGCTTAATCTTGGAAATTTCCAAATTATGTGCAAAGATACGTTTGTGAATCTACCCCTTCTGCTTTGTTTTCTTGATAAATAAAATGACTACTAAATGCTAAATGGGCTACTTATATTTAAGAGAGTGCACCGGTCTGTTGCAACCATGCAACCGACCGAAACCGACGTCGACAGTCACAGTTGGCTCAGTTATTTGGTGCTACTTTGAAAGGTCGACTTTAACCGTCGGTTTTGTGTGTTTGACAGTTCAGTCACCAGCCACATTGCCTCCCCACCCGAGCCATCAGAAAAATCGAAAAGGAAGGGTGAAATTTCAATTTTAGCCTCTTTAATCCCTTTTTGTCTTCTTTTTCTTTCTTGATTGTTGTATTCATTCATCAAATCAACCCATTTTTTCCCTTTGAAACCCTAAAAACCTTCTTGGCTTCTTCCTTGGTCCTCATCAATTGCCGTCGTCGACCACTTACGGCTGTTGCCATCCTCCTCGCCAATTACCGACCATCTCTTGCAGACTTGCAGTTGCTGTCATCTTCCCTTTGTTCAAGCTTAAGCTCAAGTCAAGCCCATCCACCCTCCAACCGACCGAAACCGACTGAAATCGAAGTCGGTTTCGATTGATCGATTTTTCCTTACGATTGGCCGATCTCGATCGATCATAAGGAAATTCTGTTTCAATAAGTTTTGGTTCCTCCCAAAACCGAAACCGAAACCGATCGATGCTCACCCCTACTTATATTAGCCCCAATTTATATTCTAGTTAATCCCTAAACGTAAGACAATATGATAGTATAAACCCAATTAATTATCAAATAAATCATAAAAGACCTTTTTGTCACATCTTGAGAGTTCCATAAATACACTAGTCCAAATGTCATTTGGATTGAAGTATTATAGGAATAGTATAAGTTGGGTTATCCCAAGTGGGGTTGGAAGCTTTGATTTCCCTTTTACACCATTCCCAAACCGTCGAACCTAATTCTTTGGTAATAGCTAGACTTAACAGTTCTTGATTATAGCATAAAAATTAGATGATACATCTAAATCTTACCTTAAGTGACATAAACCCCAAATCTAGTTAAAATTTGGACTTATAAGAGTTACTGCATTTTGCGATAATCTGACTCTCTTGATAAAAACTCTAATGACAATAATCGTTACTGAATAAACAATGCCAAACGTCATAATATTCTTACATTTACCATCAAATTCCCCAAAATATTTCTGAATTACCGTGAACCAAAAAATGAAAAAACACTCTTTCTACGCTAAATTAATAATTTTAAGATAATTATTATTGCACTTAACTCATCTTTTTCTTTCATTATCCATCCATTAATCCACAAAAGGAAAACCAACTTTCCTCATTCTTCGATTAATGCTTTTATACATTTACACTAGAAACCGTTCCAGATTTGTGTGTAGAAATGCCTACTTAATTGACCACAGAGACAACATATCTAACCCCTGATAACCAAAGGGTGTTTCTAGAAGATCCTAGAACCATCCTAATACTAGGCTACTAGCCTGTAGCCATAAACATGAAACAGTAGTAGCATCTTCAAGAACAATGCATATTGATTCATTGCAAAGAGTTAAAACTATCACCCAATTTACAATGGCAAACTGTATCAGTGTCCACAACAATAACAACGACGAACTTGAGATTTCTGCACACCAGAGACAACCAACCAAAGAAAACCCTCTAATCTTAATCTGAAACTTAATCTGATTTATGACCATCTACATGTGCTTCGTCCGTTGCTTCAGCTTGCTTAACAGCCTTAGCTAACTCATCAATAGGAATTAAAGGCAAATACCCAAACACAGTGTAACCTTTCCCACTCATATCCTTAACTAAACAGTTATATTTGTCAGACATATTAGCAGCCGTGGGAACAACCTTCTCTGCCACCGAGTGGAAAGCTGAGTTGTGATTCAGTTTAACCCACAACTTTGTTGAGTTTACCAGAACAAAGTGCTTGTACTCATCCGCAGCGTAGTGCAACGCTCCTCGCGGTCCGTTGCTTCGAGCCTCATCTACTAATTTCTGAGCCTTTTCTGCTGCCTTGTGGACCAAATCCTGGGCTTGCCTAACCACTTGCTTAGCTGCCGCCGGAGCATGCTCACCAAATTTATGCGAAGCCTCGTCCACCTGCACTCATTTTTTTAAAACCACGTCTTCAAGTTTGGAACAAATTGGTTCACATTTCTTTACGAAGCTTTCTATTTCAATGTTAGCTAAGACTTTTGCGTTCTTACTAAATTAACTTTTAGTCACTAATAAATCAGTAATTAAACTTAATCATTACATTAGAATAACAAGTACGAACATTAAACCGAAGGAAATGATACGATTATTTCAAAAATAATCCATAAATAATTAATTCACGAAACAACAAAATTTAGTAATAAAATTAAAGAGAAAAGAAAATGACTTTCAGAAACTTTTGATCCAAACAGGGAATTATAAAAACAGTTACCTTCCTATCAAGAAAGCCAAGAAGATGATCAGGTATGTCCTTAAATTTCTGGTAGACGGGACCCACGATGGTAGTAACGGCACCCTCGAACGTTCCAACGGTGGATCTCAACGGGCCGGAGTTGTGTTTGGCGTAGTCGTAAAGATTCGACACGCAAACCAGCGCCTGTAAGGCAGCCACCCTCACGAACGCTAGATGCTTTAGGTCATGATCCTTGTTCTCAACCTCTACCTGCTAAAATTTTGAAACAAATAAAAACATAAAAAAAAAAAGGCCGTGAGCTTAAACTGTTCATAAGTCAGAAAGGAGAAGATGAAGAAAGAAGAACCAGGGAACGTAGATCAGAAAACCTGGTCCATGATTGCAAGCTCTTAGATCTAAATCCTTGGTTGAGTTTTGTTTTGTTTTGTTTTGTTTGAGTTTTCTGCAATGCGCGAATGCGTGAGTGACCAAAAGCATGGAAATCTACTGACTAACGGAAGTTGCGCTTCAACTTATGGATCAACTTTACAAGAATCAACAATCTGGGTCGCTGACAAGATCCAAGGGCTGAGCTGGGATATAAGGTTGGGGAGAGTGGGCCTCGCATGAAGAGTTTTCTGGGACAGAATAGAGGCTTCGAGACGGACACGTGGACAGAGCTGACACATGGAGATGGAAAAATATCTAGGCTAGGAACCCCCTCTATTGCATTGGGGGAGGTTACACAAACTTATTTAACCAGAATGGTAAAGGACGTGACGTACCAACCTCGTGAAAGTTCGTGGATGGTTGCTGACGGATATTGTGAAGGATTGTTTGTCTATAAACTCAATTCTTCATGTAGAGTAATGTGATGCTTCCAGCAGTTCATTTTAATAATAAATTTAGTATCTCTTATTTAAAGAGTACTGTTCTTTATTTTGTGGTAAAATGGTTTCTTGTAATTTGTGTATGTTAAGATGCCGCATGCATGAATTGAAGTCTCTGTTGGTTCCTAGTAAGGAAAAGCGGTTTCTGGTACTATCAAACTGACATTAAATCAGCCCTCCGATTACTTTACTTTATTCGAATTCGTACTCCATCCTTATCCCCAGAGCGACTTTTATAATCAGATTCCAATTCTAAAGCGTAAGCTGTGGGCTGGCCCGATGTTTGCTAAAAACTATCGGTGACGTCTTCTCTCTCCTTGGCATTTTTTCTATCAATAATTGCATTTTTGGTGGCATGAGATTTGTTGGAATAATTTAGCTTTCACTAACATTCCAATTTGTGATTGACAAATAAGTTGGCCCAATCTGCCTATGTTTTTTAAACTAATATAGTCCTCTGATCAGGTAGGGCAGCTTGCAATTGTTTATTTCGGGGCACCTAAGGTTTCATCACATCATTATGTTTTGGACTCGTCGGTGGAAAAGCTTCCAATTGCATTCTTGCCCATATTACAATCGTGGACCCCACTAGCCGTCGATTAATAAACACAACGTCATTTCTTCATTCACGATCCGCTAGTCCACTACCTTGGTCCATTGTTGTATATGCTAAGATCGGGATGCCCGTGCCAACGCCGTATTTGCACATAAATCTCACCTTTTTTGGGTCAAAAAGGTTTACACAATCTCGTACCAGTTATAAATCACAAAACAGAGTAATTGAAAGGCTGCAGGGGTAAATTCTCACCTAGTAATCCATCATTTTAGCAGACAAAGATTGAAATCAAGCAGTTGATATATGCACTTTGTTTTACCGTGCACCACGTTATAGAAATAGCAGCCCATAAAATGTTAGTACCAACAAAAGAACATTTACCAGTTTCTAAATCAAACAAACTATCTAGGCTCCAGGGATTATTGTTATTAACAGGATCTCTGATCAAAGTCACTTGTTTATATTATACTTGACGAGAAAATTTTGAGTTCGCCTTTCAAACAGCTTGAGATTTCTGGCGCTTCATGTACTGGAGGATAGGCTCCTTGACCTGCCAAGGAGTAAAAGAGCGAGAGCCAACAGATAAGAGAGGATAGAGTTTTAACCAGTGCCGGAGCTTCATGCAGCCAGTAAATTTAAAGCATCATACCGTGCTTGCTTTCCTGCCTCGCTTATCTTGGGATGGTCTACTACACATGACTGTGTCTACCTCGTTGCAGTTTCCATTTACTCCGATGTTCTCACATCCTGGGACAAAGCTCTCCCCTGAAGCTATTGGCTGGACAATTCCAACGAAAATATCCTAGTTAGCTTTTGACAGTACTGTCAAAGCAGAGGAAAAGCTTGCTATCACGTGCGAAACAGGAATGGTTTCATTTTGACACTAACCTGAGCCCTGCTTATGGGGGTGCTTCCATTTTCCCTGGTCTTTGAGATAGTCTGCTCACTCCGGATTGAACCATTTTGGTTTATCTCAGATCGGCCCCTCATGCGTGTAAGATCTGAACCAATGGAGTGGAGGACACCGCATGTAGACATATCCCTGTGGTTGCTTCCTAATAAACAAATAAATATTTTCATAGATCGAAAATCGCATTCTAGGCTGATCTCTAATAATAGGAAATTGGCTCAATCTGGTACCAGTTCCGTCGAATGCCAGATGATTCGTCTTGCTATGGGGTTCATTGGTATCCACATCCTGGTTTATGAAAAGAGTTGTGATTAAACATTCTGCAGAAGATGCGGTGTTACACAACTGACAAATTACAATCATCACCATAGCATCATTGCTTAAAGCTCTCTTGACTTCAAGTAGCTTTTTCTCTGTCAGACTGGAGTGGATGACCCGCTTGCCTGAGTTAACATTGGATCGATAACAAAGAAATTTTACCAGGATTAATCCTCCAAAATGATGTGAAGGCAAAGCACTCAATTACTAAGGTGGCAACACAGACCTAGCCTTCGGCTGCCTTTAGCTTCAAGAAAACCATCCCGAGTCATCTTATTTATAATCCTTCGAACAGTGGTCTGATTCGCCTGTCCATCCAGCTTCCTCTGAAGCTTTGCAACCGTCACATATTTCATTGGAAGAGCATGATACAAAGCCTAAAGTTACAACAATGAAGTGAGAATGTGCCATAGGATTAATAGTCACAACTCACAATATACCTATGACCTGTTTGCAGAACAAGCTAAGATGAGAATTATTAGGCAACCCTAACAATTTCTAACTAAGGCTCTATATAACTTTTGCATTGAAAGAATCCAGTAACAGAATAAAACAAAGAGTTTTCATTAATTGGCAATGCATTGAAATTAAAATGGACATAGTATCCTAAATGCATACAAAATTGAGAAGCCTCCGCAAGTTTTGGTTTTAGCTGCAACATGTGAAAAACTCAACATATATACATACACAGGCATACCAAAGCAGTGTAACATCATATGTTTTTCATAGCAACAGAACATACAGTTTGGCAAAAGACAGTTGAGCTTCTTGTTGATGAGTTAGAAAACAGAAACAACCTCAAACTCGCTTACCTTCATATACATGTGATCTTGAACCCTTGGAGATTTCTGAACAATCTTGACTTGGCCGTCCATTTCTTCTTTAACTGTGAAGTCGTACTCAGACCCCTGGTATTGTCTTTCATCAGAACAAGGAATGTGATACAAAGCAGGTAATAGTGATACAAATTATAAATTGAAAAAGGTAAAAACCTTTTGCTTCTTTATAGTATAACTGTCTTTTCCAGTGCTTGATAAAACACCTTCCTTTACAAGTTTGTCCATTATTTCTGAAATCAATCAAAGAAATTAAAACAGTAGAAGGTAAAATAGAAAACTTATTATTATGAAAGTTGAAATATAGCTCTTTGGTGTACTCCCTTTCTGTTTAAACTTTAATAAGGACCAAATATTTCATTTACCTTCAGTCAAAACCTGGATTTGAGCAAAATAGTGCTGGATTATTATGACAATAAGAATGGATAAAGAAACTGGAAGATCTAAAATACAAACTACCCTACTACTTATTTATGGCCGTGTAGGTCAAAATTAAATTTAGAAGAATAAATAGCACCCTTACCACTGAGATATCTGGGAAATTTGAGAGAACATCAGTAAGTTCAACAGTATCAAGATGACGACTATTGATCCAATCTTTCACTCTGGCCAATTGCTGTTCATCTTCCATGGAGTCTTGAGTATCATCTGAGCAGCAGTTAACAGATTATTAGCTGTAGACAAGCCTAACCCAGAGATTATCAAAAGAACTTAAAGAGAAAGAGGTGAGGTGGAGGGAAATTGGAAAAGAAAAACAATTAATGAATTTTTCTTCATATTTCAAGGAATACAATTGTCCGACTCCTTTTCTGATATCTTTGAAATGTTACCTTCATCAACCATGCTATTATCTTCTTCTGGTCGTTGCTTGTCTGGCAGAACAACCATTGTTAGTCAGTGATCAAATTCTCCAACAAAAACTCATAGGAAGAAGATAATAAAGTGACTAGTAAATCTCTGAAACAATTTATATAATTACCTGCTGGTGCCAGGATAAATTGGTTTTCTTGTGATTCGTTAACCTGAAATCAGTAGCAAAATTAAACAAGATCGCAATACAACTCAGTTTTTTTCGATAAGGTGGCTTCATTTGGTAACATGAAAGTGATATACATGCTGTCAAGGGCAATAGTACATGAGTTGAACAAATAATAGTCATTTTACCTCACTGTCAGAGTCAGAAGATTCATCTCTTTGAACAGAGTTAGCACCTAGGCTAACTTCATCATCTTGAATGTCATCATTTTCATCCCCACAAGGATCAAGTACACTTTTAACCTGAACAAGTCACCAGTAATGAAAATTTTATTAATATGAGCCACAAACATGATTCCGGCATCCAAAAAGGCTTCAGCCCTTACCTTGAGAGCTAAAACAAAGTGCTTGCTGTTGACATTTCCAACCTCCATCTTTAAAGGATTTTTGGTCCATGGATTATGAGCTTCCTCTTCTGTACAACCTCTAAAGAATGGTGGCTCGTAGTCCAGTGGCTGTGCTTGGTCAAATGAATTAATCACAATCTTTGTTAAGGTTGAATACTTTCATTTGGTGAGGAGAAATCTAATAAACGTTGCCAAAACAGTTATGTGAAACAGGAAAAATCACCACATAAAGAAAAACAATGTTGCTTAGTTCAATATGCATTACAAGCCTGCAGCACCTCAGTACCTTTTATAACAGATATCCAGAGAAGAAAACACATGATCAACCAATTAAATTCATATGAATAGCGAACATGTTCATAAATAATTTCCCATTATTGAACAAGTGGAAATTCATAAAATGAATTAGCTACCAAGCTCCTATACATAAACAGTCCTTAGGAGGAAAATAAGAAAGGCATACCGTCACACCATCATAGTAGAGGAGTTTCATCAATATAGTACGCTGAAAAAGAAGACAGAACAAATATGAGAGAATTAACATAAAATAGAGTTTAATGTAAAATAAATATCTAAAAAGCGTAGCAGTTAAAAATTTACCTCTTCAGGCATCTTATCCAGAGTTCTCATCAACTGAACCAGCGTACGGACCATTTTACAAGCAGAACTCCTGAAATTTAACGTTGTCACAGAAGTTACAACTTGGAAAAAGCTATCATCATGCAACAATAGACAGAAAATTATACTATTTTGAACGAATTGAATTTATATTACCTCATTTGATTGGGAGTAATTTCAGTCGTGGAGTTACACTTGAATGTCCCTCCTTGTTTCTTGTTTCCAGTGCGATTAATATTCATCGAAACCTCTTGGCTATCAGAACCGGAATAAGTAAAAGAAACTGCATTGAGGATGCATATTCAATTGTTAAATCAAGAAGTGAATTACTCAAGCTTTGAAAGTGATGATAAAAAAGGGTGGCTTAGAAACTTTACATGAGTATTCCTCAATCATTGCTCCATCAATTGACTCGCATATGCAGAATAATAGAGTTTTCAGGTACTTTTTCTGTAATGCATCGTAGACACCTGTAAGAACAATGACTACGGTCAATGAAATAACTAAATTAAAGGAAGTAAAAACGAAGATTGAAAAAGCGAAGAATCAGATGAAAACAGTTTGCCTTTCTCCATCCAATCAATCAGCCTACGAGACTCTGCATCCAGCGGCATCAGTTTCTTGATCTTCATCTCTGTTGATTATTACCAAAATTTTTTAAGAAATTAGCCAAATATATTTTAAAATCTTTAAAAAGAAATGTGAGAAAAACTTAGAATAAAAAGGCTAACCTAAAGCAGGAACGGACTTATCATTGAAATACTTTTCAGGGAAAAGGCCTCTGATGTAGCTAATGTTGAATATAGCAATACGAAGCAAGTTCCTGGTCTGTTAAGAGAAAAGTCAAAAAGGAAAGATAAGATCAATTGGAAAACCTTTAATATCAAAGCTTCCATGACTAACTATTTGACAGTGAAATATGAAACTCCGATCATTTGCAGCAAAATTTAAGGGACAAAAAAGAAAGAAAAATAGAGGATATTTTCTCGTGAATTTGCAGATGAAATATAAGAAATCAGAATCTGAATACATAAACGGCCAGCTTTGATATACAAATCAAGTGGCAAAGTATTGGAAAATATATTCACAATTACCATACATTACGACCTATGCGCAGAAATTTCACCGAAGTTACAAAGTGAACTCAAAATGTTCAGATCTGAAGTACATTCGGTGCATATAAAAGCATTTCAGATTTGAGTTTCCTACAATGGTTAAATTTCAGCCATAAACAACGAGAAGAGAGATTTTGTTATCTACCTATGTTGCATTTATCAGACCGACTTTAGATCGGCGACCTCAAGCTTAATATATATAATCGAACCAAACAAGCACAAACAGAGTAAACTAACTACGAACTTAGTATAAAACAGAGAACAAGCAAATTTGACGCTGTATAAATTTGATTACAAGAAGAAGCGAGTCCTGCTCGGTGATCTCCGCCTCTTTAACTTTCTGTGCAACAACCTGAAACGATAAACCAATAAAAGTATAAAGGAAATTGCAATAGAGAGAATATGAAGAAAAGTTAACGTAGTAAGATGAACCGAAAATGAACGGGTTCAAAGAGATTTAAAAGCTCACCATTGTTGGACAATTTTAAGACTAAGGGAGCTGAGAATTGCAATAGGATGAATAAGGAAGCGAAATACGGAGAGAAAACTGAAAGAGTCTTTGGCTTAGAAATTTGAATCAAGAAAAAATAATGTTGGCATGGCGGGATACTTAGCTTGCTATTTATTTATAGACACGGTTGGGCATGCAATCAGCGCGTGATGAGAGTTGAATTGTTATTTTACATGAATAATAGGGATGTTTTGGTCCCAGAGAATTGACGTGGCAACTGCTTCTTGACCCATGTCCCTCCAGTGTCATTTTGGTATCCGCTATTGAATTCACTGCAGCAATGGGACCCACTTTCCGATGAACGTTTTCCCAAACCAAACATTTCACTGTAATTTTTTATTATAAGCTTTTAATTATTGAATTTAACCATAATAAAAATTACATAGAGATTCCTAACTAGAAAGTTTCACATAAAATTTTACTAAATTTTATGGAGTTTATAATTATATTATAATGTAATAATTATAAATAATATACCTTTTTAAAAAATAATTACATAAAAAATTGTACGCCATCAAATCTGTGAAGAATTCTCCAAAACATGTTTTTCTTTACAAAGAATTTTAGAGAACGGCATTGATACATGGCAACTACAAATAGTCAGATGCTAATAATATTTCTTTGATGGTTATTCCTTTTCATACTTCATATTCACATTCGAAAAGGAAATCTTTCTGGTTGAATAAACAAATGAACTAATATATAAACTATATGAGAGCAGCAAGGTCATGCCGGTAGGGAGACCTTACCAAAATGATCTGAAGATTTAAAAGGGTTTGGCCCGAAAAACCGATTATTTGAGCAGTCATGAACAGCCAATAACGTAAAGCGTGAGAAGGCTATTTTAATTCGTCTCCGTCTCACCTTTGGAAGAGGAGGCTGATTCGAGACAAGCACTCACACAAGCATTTGCAAAAGGAAAACCACTGATTTTTTCATAATAATCATCATTTTGCAATAAATAAAGAAATTAGCAAATAATAGACGAACAATTTCCAGGTCCTATGTTCAGACAGGTTCTTGATTTGATAACAATTACCAAAGAAATTTCTGAAAGATGACTTGCAATCACTTTTCAACCCATAACATAATTCTATATTCTATATTTATTACAAAAAGAAAAAAAAAATTATTTCTAGGCTAACATCATTCAGAGAATGAGAGTTACCTATAAAAGCAGTCTTGCACTTTCACCTATGTTAATCATTTCAGACTGTCTGACACACGGCTACACCTTGATTTATTTTTCTTCCTTCTGGTTGGAATGACACTAGCAATTTCAAATCTTGATCATGCAAAGGCCCTCAACAAAGAGAATGGTATTCCTAGGAACAACTGTCTATGATACAGGACAAAATCAGTCCTATTCAAACTGTTCACACTCAAGTTCACCTTTCGAAAGGGTCTCCTCTGTTTGAATTTAAGGGAGGATAAACAGCTCCAGCTATTTTCTCCCGAAGATTGAATTTCTTTGCAATCAGTGGCCTCACATCTTCAACTCCAACCAAGCTCTCCAAAAATGGAAGTAATAACAGTAGTTCTTGATCTGAACGGTCATCAAACCAGCTCTCAATTGGTATTCCATTGTCTACTTGGAACCCAAATGCCTGAGAAGAAAGCCAACAAGCACATTGGTTAAATTTCAGTAACAATGCCCATCATTTCTTTATACAGTGCACAACTTTGTAAGTAATTTGCATACAACTTCAAATGCATAAGAACTTATTGCCATTATCAACAGACTGTTACAATAGATAATCATGATCTTAGAGTGTTATTCACCAAAAGCAAGAACAATATCATACTCCACTCTCTTGAATTCTCAGTGATCCTGGGCATGATACCCAGAAGTATAGATTCCAACCAATAGACAAGCATGGGAAGCATTAAATTATAATCACTTATAATTCTTTTTAAGAAAAATATTAACCATCAGCCAAAAGACAGACTAACTAGTTCTGTAAAGAGATTGCAAGGATGGGTTTCACCAATTTTACAACCACACAAATAAAACAACCAATAAGAAGATATATTAATGTCTCTATCAGTCTTGTGTATTGAACTTAAGTATGAGAAACACAGGCCATAGCAAACATCAATTTTCTTCATGCTAATACTATGACATTTGTGCCTAGTGTGGTTGGTGTATTGGAATAGTAATTTTTCCCCTCTTGTTTCAAGGGTTTCTTTTTTTCCAATAAGCAGCAGAAGCACTCAAACAAAGTCCATGTAAGACAGGAACTCTGAAAAATACCTGCGGAGAGTTGTCAATAATGATAACACGTGCAAGATCACGGCCAAGGACTGACAAATCCTTCAGGTAATTGCCGTCCACAAAAACACATGATTCTCGGAAAACACGATGGCGGAATATTCTCCTCTTTGGATCAAGCACATTCAGAAGTTGCTCTGCGTAAATACTTTGACTAGCTGTAAAAATAATTATCTCAAAAAGACTGGAAACTCTTTCCATAAAATCTCTTAGGTGAGGACGGCATCGAACATAAACAGTGTGTTCCTGGAGATTAAAATTTACAGGGAATGTGAAGTCTGCATCATCACAAGGTTCTAACGTGGAATGCACCAAAGTTTCTGCCAAGCAATACAATTCAATCAGTACACCAGGGTAATTGTCACCAATTATAGGCAGAAAATTCAATGCTAAACTGCAATTGTTAAAATCAGACAAGCAAGTAAATATAAGGGATAAAAATGACACTTAAAAAATAAGCTTAAATTTTAAGCAAAAAGTCAGTTCTAAGAAAGATCGGCTTCAATGCTAAGACAAGAAGGGAAAAGAAGCACAATAGCTTTGCCTTCTGCACCAACTTATCACTAATATTCCAACAACCAACACAGAATTATAACATGATATGCCACTGACCAAGCAACATAATATTCAATTTGGAATTCAAATTTTGATGACTTATTATTGCAGACACTAGCTGCCATGAAATTGGCTGGACAACTCTAAAAAGAACCCAAAAAGACTTGCTTGATTGAAAAAAACATTAAAAAGTTAAGGAGCATAAGCAGCAGACAGTACTCCAATAGAATTAGCATTTAAAATCATTCAAATCTAAGAGCTTGAAAGGAGATTAAATATAAATCTCGAACTTGTTGCATGATTATTAAGAGTCAGAAATCATGCCTGATAAATATTTCCAAAATCACAACCATAAGCAAAAAAATTCATCAAATGTACTAATTATCTAAAAGTATTCTTACCATCCAAGTCCAAGACAAGAGTGGTAGGTGGGCAACTCCGGGTCTGCTTAGGTAGTAGCACAGGCCGAAAAGTAGGTACAACAGATGACAACTCTGGTAAGTTTTTTATAAATAAATAAGGATCAAAGTCATCAAATTCCTCATAGTATTCATCCTCTACACAGATATCAGTTGACATAGAATCTTGACCATGCTCATCAATACATTCCAATTTTGAGTTTTTCATGGCAAGGTATATGGCTGAAACTTCAGATGAAAGGACAGCTCCTGAATCTGCATTACAAATCATAGCATTTGTGTCTAGGACAAGCATCTCCTCTCCAGAAGTAGACTTAATAGCTTCCCCAGTAATATGAGCATCTAGCATATCAATCTGTGATTCCTCTATTCTTTCATCTTGATGGATTTTAGAGTCTTCCCTCCGAAACAATTTAATAAAGTCAACTAAAGAGGATATGTGCATTAATATCACAAAGAAAGGTACTAGGATACATATATATAACCTACCTACACAAGCAAGCTCCCCTCCAGAAACCTTAGGTTTGTGAAAGCCAGGAGAAAATATAGTTCCTGTCATATGGTGATCACCACCCTGCCATATAATTAAAGAAATAAACAAAAGCAAAGATGGTTCTATTTTTTTTTATTTTTTTTTTCTTCTGAGTCTTTCTTTTTCATAGGAATTACAAATCTTCCTAACTAATTGCCCCAAGCGCAATTATATTTTTAAGTAAAAATGTGATAGAGAATTATATGTTAATCACTCCTCTCCCTCCACATCCATAAAGAAGCCACATAAAATATGGTAGAGCTAGAAAAATTACCTTATGATCTACATGAGTATCATTAGCCACATCATATCCCAAACAAGCATCAGAAGTCTTGTCATGCCGCAAGCCAAATCTAGCATTTAAATTTGCAGCCCCAACAGGCTCTTCATGTTTCTTTGGGATTGTTCCGGCTGAAAGTTGCATAAATTTCATGATTTCATTCACTCAGCAACTTTGACAGTTAAGGACAGACTTTAACTTGAAGACAACATTAAATTAGACCTATTGAAAATTTTTCATGGGTGCCAAAGTCAAGAAGATCACATAAAGCAATATTGTTTTCCTTCTAACCAAAACAAAGAACATTCTATTAACTATTCAAAATACTGAGACAAAATTAGCAACATACCAAGTCTCTGCTTCCTAACAGAAGATGTAATTAGCTCTGTTACTTTCTTCTCTGGACCTTGCACCTTTTCAGATATCTTCCTCTGAGGTCTTGAAGCCTTGGGACTGGCATGCTCTTGAGAAGCATTTCTTCCAGAAATTCTTTTCTTTGTTTGCATTGCACTAGGCGTCCCTTCCCAAACTTCAGGATTCTATCACTACCCAGCGTGCTTGGAATAAATAATTAAAATTTCCGGGGTTAAACTCCTAACATATATGTTCTGGCTCTCTAATGCAGACTGAAAGAATTACAACTACAATAACAACCATGTAAACCTTTAGCTTAAACTTTTTTAACAATAAACTAAACAAAAAGACAAATTTCCCATGGAAGACTCTCTTAGCATATATTAACAAGCTAATTCAAAAAATTCTGATTTGCTTGCCCAAAACAGTCTCCTTTTCTCATTGAATATTATCTTCATACACTTAAAACTAGATCATACCCAGAACCCTCCACCTAATTTATGTGTAGAAAATGCAGGCGCTCATTCTGGGATTTTAACTTACAGATTTGCCTAGAACATGCAAGGTGGCTTCAACATGATGTATATTAATATATCCGAAAAACAGCAAATTCCTAGTACGAACACAGTCTATATCTAAGAGTGCAAACAAAATTAGGACATATTACACCACAAACATTTCAGATTTGAATGAAGAAAATTTGAGCAAACCTTGCTACTTCAATCACCGAATGAGGACAAACTTTTAAAACCCTAACTCACACCGGCTCCCTCAAACAGAACACTAAACTGAAAATTTTTGCAAAAAAAAGACCCAGAAATGAGAAATGCATCATTCAAATCAACTAAACCCTATCGATTCTCGAACAAGAATCACGGAACCAGTACCAAATATAGGGCATTTCAGTCAAGCTAAATAGAGTTTGAATGGCCAAAAATTTACAACCCTAGAGAAAAGGAATGTACATCGAAACTAAGCTATAAACAATAGCTAAAGCTATGAACTTAAGCTGAAAGTGGGTTAAGCAAAAAGCTGCTTACCTGAAACAAAATGGAACCAAACAAGATCAAGAAGTGAAGAAGCTGAGCTAAGTCAGTGTTTCAGCAAATAAGCAAAGGAAGAGCAAGCAAGTTCAAATAAAAACTTGAAGAGAAAGAGAGAAGCAAAAATGAGTAAAGCAAAACCCTAAAATTTGTTACAAGTAGAAGGAGAGAGCTTTGGTTTTTTTTTTTTTTTGGAGGGGGGGAGGCGGGGGAGTTTCGGAGTTTTTCTTTCCCTCCAAGGACAGGAAAAGAGAGGGAAAACAAGGACGAGGATCGAAAATTATTTTTGCCTGAATAAGAAGTTAGATCTTTAAAATAAAAATGGGATTTTATTTTTCATTGTTCTGAGGATAATATTGAAAATATTTTTCAAAAATCTTGTGCTTATCAGAAATCATCTACTCACGGGTGATGATGTGAGTGACGGTACTCGCTTTACCTGACGTAAAGTGGTTACGTGGCCTTCTAGATATGGAGAGTGTTTTGAGTCGCCGTTTCTGCGAGTAGGGATTCTGTTTCTCTGAGCATGCTTTAGCCTGATTAAGCTGCAAACGACGCCGCCCAAGAGGGATTTCCTTTTCTAATTTGGAGTAGAGGGAGTTTCTTTAATTTTGCTTTTCTTTTTCCTTTTTGATTTTCATCCCGTGGGACACTGTCCATTTTGTCTTAATTGTTTTTCGAAGGGTGCCTATACTTCCTAAATTTGTTGCATGACCCCCTCTCTTCTACAAAATTCTAATTAACCCCGTAGGACTTAAGGACTTAAAAAGCCACTCAAGTTTTGTCTATTTAACAGTAAAATATGTATATCTTTTATTTAATAGTAAAACATCTAAGTTAAGTTTAACATATGCTTGATTACCGAATATTATTTCTCATTTGTAAAAAAATTTAATATTAAATTTGAATGATAAAAATTAAATAAGAAATTATTATTAGTATAATTTGAATCAAACTACTTATGACATTAAAAAGGATAATTGTCCATTTAACACTCGAATCATACAAAAATGTTTTTCTAAGAGAATTATAACAAAAATATTGATTTGATACTTGAAGATAAAAGATTCAATTAAGACAAAATCGCACTTTAACTTAACATCATTAGTAAAAAAATCTAACGACTAATGTAATGCGTCACCTCCCGTAAAAAAAGTGAAGTTAAATAACATGTTTGATTATGCCATTTTATTTATAAAAGATAAAAGGTTGATTATCCATTTAACACTACAATTGTAACAAAAATATAGGTTTGATACTTAAGATAAAAAAAACTCAATTAAAGACTTCAACTTTTATTCTATAAAACAAATAGTACTTTAAGCTAACATAGTATAACAACGACTAATGTTGATGTACTATTGGTCATAAAAATTTGCAAAATCAAATTACAATTCATTATTATGTCATTTATTTATAAATTTTTAATTTAGATTAAAAAAAGAAAAAAAGTAATTAGGAGAGAGAAAATGAGGATAGAGAGACAAAGGAGAAGGAGAAGAAAGGAGGAGAGAGAGAAGGGAGTGGGGGAAGGGGACAAGGACTTGCCAACGGCTTAGATTGATGGTTGCTTAGCCTTGTTTCTCTCTCTTTCTCTTCCCTTTCTCTCCACGCTATTTTTTTTATTTTTTAAATTTTTTATTTTTTTGGAAATTTAAGTTTCTTTTTTTTCTGAACTTTTTTATATTTTTCTACCCATTTTGGAAATTTCTGAATCCAAAAAAAATATAATTAAGAAGTAAAAAACATTAATACTTAATTACGAGAATTTTTAAACTTCAGTTGTCAAATCGACAGTTTTAATATAGTTTGAGTGTCAAACGTGTAATTAAACCAAGCAAAGAACAACTAAAGCCACGCCGCTCAATCTAAATTTGAAAAAGTAAAAGGACCACGGAGAAAAAATGTCTTTGACGCTGGAGAATGCTGTTGGTTTAATTATTGCAGCGTCTCGTGAGGCGAATCTTTTGAAAATTTGAATTGAAGTTAGCACCGCTGTCCGCACGGAAAACAACATACAGCGGACGTGTCTCGATAGCCAGCTGCCACGTAAGAGACGGAGAAAGTGCCGAGCAAACTTGTATGCTCGATATTGGGCCAGGCCCGAATCCAGGACTCTGCAGATTCGGTACTAAATCTGCTCGCTACTACAGTGTTTCTTGCCCATTTTGTCTTTGCTTTGACAGGCCAGGAAGTCCGCCTCTGATTGTACAGGCAAAAAAAAAAAGAAAAAAAATTAATTTCAGAGATCTTATTTCTACTACAATAGGAATTCAAATCTTCCGTCCCTACCCATTCTCACAAATTATCATACGTTTGTATTTTTATTATTACTTAATAGATGTTAATTTTAAATTTTATTTCTCATATTTTTTTCCTTTAAACTCTACACTAAAACAACTCTAAAACCACAACTTTGTTTTCTCTACACCAGAACCAGAGAAAGATACACTCCGGAGTATGCTCTCTGTCTCTAATAACCCTTCAAACAAACTGTAATTGTTTTATTTCTGGTTGGAAAGTGTAACTTTGAGGTTTTTGAGAAGTTTGTATTCATGGAGGTTGGGGTTGGTTGCTCTATTAATGAAAGTCTAACTTCCTTTGGAAAAAATTGTTTTTCTATGATACTTGGTGAGGCATGACACCGAGTCACGTCGGAGGTGTGTAAATGGTGTGCATGCATATCCACGAGTTCTAAGAGAGAAAGGAAAAAAAATAAAATTAAACATATATTAATTAGTGATAAAAAAATAGATATGTAACAATTTATAAGAGTAAAAGATTTATCTAGTTTCTCTACTCTTTAATTTTATTCAATTTAGTCTTTGTACTTAAAATGGAAGCAATTAGTCTTTTAACTTTGAAAATTGTATCAATTTAGTCCTCCTCCTATCCAATTTTATCGTTAAAGGATGATATTATCACTGGTGTATTACTTTTGATGATGTGGCGTTGAGATGATGATGTGGCGTATCAAATGACATCGAGTGATGACATGGTAATACCACGTGGCATTATATGATGATGTGGTAGTGCTGACGTGGTATTTACATGCCGACATGTTAATACCATGTGGTAGACCAAAATAATTTTCAAAAAAAAAATCTACTGCGTCATAAAGATTAAAATGAATAAAAATATATAATATAAGGGTTAAATTGAACAATATTGAGATGTTGAAAAACTAAATTAAAAAAAATTTAAAAGTAAAAATATTTAAGTAGATTATTGATATGCTTATTAATAAACCAAATATTTAAGTATAAAGGATTATGGTTTTAAAAATATATATAAATATTTTCTTACTTGATTATTTAATTTTAAAATTTGTAAATTAATTTATATTTTTTATAAAAATTAAATTTGAATTCTCCTTCTATAAAAAAAATTTTAAAACAATTTTATACCTCAAGTCAAATTTAGATGAATAACTAGCATTACGTTAAAATAAAATTATATAAAAGGACTAACTATATTGATTTAGTTACAATTTTCACAATTTGCAAATACACATTTTTTTGAAATTATTTAACTCTTACCCAATTTGCTTTTTATTTAAATTTGCTCAAATTAGCAAAATATGTTAATTTAGTTGCAACTTTCACAATTTACAAATATACATTCTTTTGAAATGATTCAACTCTTACCCAATTTACCTTTTATTTAAATTTTCTCAAAATTTCTTATAAAATGATTTTTTAAAAATTCAAATACCATAATAAAATTCTGCTAAATTTAAATTTAAATTATTAATTTGGATCTATAAAAAATTTATTAATAAAATAAAATATTACAAATATTTACAGTTATATTTAACTTTATCAACGATGAATGCAGTGTTTAATTTAAGAAATTTCAACTTAAAAAATATAACTTAAAATATTAAATAAAATAAAAAATAAATAAATAATTGAAAGAGTAGAGCTCAGATTCTATTGGTATAATAAGAGGTTTGTCATGTTCAAATTAAGTAAGTCAGAACAAAATTTTTTTTTTATAATTATTGCTAACTCCATATCTTCGTTCTTTATTTTTTAAAAAATAAAAACTCAATCAATATATTTTTCTTATTTGACTTTAGCTCAAGTTAAAACTAAGTTAAATAAATTTTAAATTTTTATACTATTATAAATAGAAGAAAAAAGAATTTATTTAGTCATTTTATATTATTTTATTTTAATGTAATACAAGTTATTCATCTAAATTTGACTTCAAATATGAAATTTTTTCAAATTTTTTTTATAGAAGGAGAATTCAAACTTAATTTTTGTAAAAAGATAAATTAATTTACATATTTTAAAATCAAATAATCAAGTAAAAAAATTTATATATATTTTTTAACACCATAAATCTTTTACATTTAAATATTTAACTTATTAATAAACATATCAATAATTATATTTTTTAAATATTTGTTTAATTTAGTCTCTCAATATCTCAATTTTGTTCAATTTAATCCTTATACTATATATTTTTGTTCACTTTAATCCTTATAACGTGACAAAAAATTTTTTTAAGAAATTTTTTTGATCTGCCAGTACCATGTTAGCATTGTCACGTCATCATATAGTGTCGGTGGCATTGTCATGTCATTTACTTTTGTGTCATGTGATAAACCACATCATCATCTCAATGCCACATCATCAAAAGTGACACATCAACACTGACATCATCATTGACGTCAATGATGACATCATCTTTTAACGATAAAATTGGATACCGTTAAGGAGAGAAACTAAATTGACGTAATTTTAAAAAATAAGGGACTAAATTATTTTGATTTTAAGTACGGGGATTAAATTGAATAAAATTAAAGAGCATAGGGACTGGATAGGTCTTTTGACCAATTTGTAAGAATTAAAACAAGAACTGAGAATAGAAAATTTGGATTCTTACAATAGGTAATCTATGAAAACTCAATACTCATTACTACTATATAACTAAGGGGGAAAAAGGAAGTTAAAAACAGTTAGTTGGATAGGTGCATAGCATATTTTTAGAAAATTTATTTAGAGAAATTTGTCATTTATCGATGTATGACACATGAAATATCAAAATACATGTGAAGATAAATTTAATATAGTTTGACATTGTAATTGGATTATAAATTTGAGAGTTAAAAGTATAATCAACAAAGAAGTCATTTTCTTAATTCAAACCTCAGTTTATACTAAAAACTTTCGACCATTTAGTTATATATTTTATTATCCAAAATACTGTAAGGTCATGCTCAAAAAAAATTAGGATTTGAAACGAAAATGATAATGATTTGCAAAAATTAGCAAACAGGGACATAAATTTTCATATTTGAAAATGAAATTATTTTTTAATCATCTTTTCCATCTTTTACTTTCAAATGTTTTTTTTTTCAATGAAATTTCATTACTTTTCTTGAAATGCTACATGAATTGAGTGACAAAATTATTAGAAACTAAATTTAAAATCTTTAAAGGGATTTAAAAATAAATATTATTAATTTAAAAGAATAAAAATAATTTTTTTGTCTCTCTTCAACTCTGTCTCACCCAATCTCCTTTTTTTCTTCTCTCTCTTTAACAACAATAGATCCAAAATCCTAAAAATTTTTAATTTTGATTTTTGAACTCCATATTTATTTCACTTTTCTTCTTAGTTTACCATTTTCTTTCTTTTAGTATTTATAATTATTTATTTGTCACTATTATGTGATTAACAAAAAAAGATTTTGAACATCTTCTACAACGTTAGTCTAGATTTTACCACTTGTTAACTGTGTTTATTGCAACACCTTCGCAAAACAATCTCAATCTCTTATTTGCAAAACTATCAGCAGTGGCAAACAGATGCTAAGCCACAAGTGTAGAAGCACATTTAGAGGTTGAACCCATAAGCTTTTCATGTCAAGTGAGGCATCCCTGTAAATAAACGGAGTAATGATAATAACAACTTCTACTCAAGATAGTTACTAACTCACCTTGATTGAAATCGTTAAGATTGCACTCGATAGTTAATAGTGTAACTATTAGTTTTATGACATTTCATCTGTCATGTGACATGTTAATGATAACATTATGAAAAATGACGTGATATTACATGTTGCTGATTAAGAATTGACTTTTGTTTTTATCGGACCACATGTCTAAAAATAATTGAGTTAGAGACTTGAAACCAAAAAAAAAAAAAGCACCTAAACAAAATATTTGGTTCCTAATATACATACCCTAATTGCAATTTTGTCTAACAAGTTTCTAAACAACATTTAGGGTTTATGACTATCAATTTTGTCTAATTAATTCCTGAACAATATTTGAGGTTAATGACTATCATAATATAGGATAAATAGCTATTTCTCTTTATTTTTGTTTCCTGAATATTTATTGTTCAATGTTTAACTATCAATTTTTTTCCACCCACTTTTGCAATCTGAAAAACTTTCCTTTTTCTGTTTTCTTTCTTTAAAGTATGTTTCACCTATCCCTAGCCAGCTTATGAATAAAGAAGCAGAGAACGATGGTGAATCATGGGATGGAAAATTAGATCTCTGGAAACCTTTTAATTGTTTGGTGGAGGTTGCAAATGGGACCAAGTCCTTCAAGTCTAATTCACAGGGCTTTGATTCTAAATTAGAACCTATCATGTCCCGACAGTGAAGCTTAAATGTGCAAAACCCAACATGGGAAAGACAAATGCAAAATGAAGGTTAAGGATGAAAAGAATAATGTTGGTCCTACCACTTCAGAAACTGTAACTCTAGATTTGGAGATTTTGGCCTTTATCCGCAAGCTGTGCAAGATGCTACTGGTACTGAGCATGAAAAGAAGAGTTGGCCCTATTTGGTTTTCATTGGTGGCCTCTAAAGACTCATAGAACCATGCTACTCCTGCAATTCTCAATTTACAAAAATTTAAGAAAAAGGCAACTTAGTTTTTCTTGATGAACTGGTACTGCAAATTATCTCTTCTTCATGAACTAGTGCTGCAACTTAACTCTTTTAAAGAAATTTTGTTTTTAGCAACATCATTGGACAATAAAAGTTAGATATTTGGTTTTTTTTATCTTTTCGGATAATTTATTATGTTTTGTTAAAAACTCTGAATCAAGGTTAAGAATTGAATATGATAGTAATAATGAAGACTTAATTTAATGATTTTTGTGTTTTTTTTTAATTTTCTTTCTAATTATTCACTCAATTATTTTTGGATACAAGGGCAAAAAAAATGTAAACACACATTTTCTAAGTAACAAATTTTAATGCCATGTCATCTATCATGTGGTAATGACATCATCAAAATGACATATCAACTTATCACATGACAAATAACATGATATAAAAGTAATACTGTTGACTAACAGAAGTTAGTCAACAATTAATGAGATTTTTCATTTTTAAAGGTGCCATTTGCATTGATACAGAAAGTTACAAAAATCAAGCAACTAGTGTAAAAAAAATGAGAGGAACTTATTTGATCCAAAATAAAAATCTAAAAACTTAATTGAACGTAATAAAAATATAAATACTTAATTAACTTTTTGTGATATAGTTTAAAAACTTATTTAAATATTTAATAAATATATATATATTTATATAAGAGGATTCTCAATGACATAGAAGAGAAATCAAGTTAATAATATCATAATCTTATCGTAATCTAATAAAATCACATTGATTTAGCTTATAATTTGTACATTTACTATAATTATGAAAATATTGTGCATTTTGGATAAAGTTAGAGGAAGAGAGAATTAAATCGAGACATTTACCCAACTGGATTGAAAGGTGGGTCACTCTCTCTTTGGTTCCTCTTCACGTAAACAAAGTTCCATAAATTTTTAATTTACTAAGAATAAAAAATTTACACCTCATATTCTTCTCAAGATTCCTTAATTGGTAAATTTTGAGAAAACTCACAGCTAGTAAGTGACTAAGTCCTAGTGCTGTATCATCAACCTGCCATATCGATGGTGAAAAAGGTTGGACTAATGCTTTTACAACTTCTTTTCTTCTTTTCCTTCTTCATGAGCTTTAATTTGTTTTGTTCCTTCTCCTTTGCCCAGGATAAAGTTATGGTGATGATGTCATAAGTTTTCCCAACTTAGTCAAGGAGATTAATTGCTGCAGGAAAAAGAAAGACAGTTGTTTTTTCAAACCACCATAAAACTATGAATCCAATCACATTAAATTTAAACAAGTTGGCAGCTGGTACATGAACTCTTCATCTTCCATGAACTTATTGAAGATTTGGAGAATAGAGATTATTGTTTAGTATTTCTATTCAAACCTCCTAATTAACTGCACTTACTCAACTTGACATTACTCATAAAAGAAATAAAGAAACTAAACACTAGCATACAAAGTCTCAAGGCCCTCAAATTTAACTTGCAGGGGTTATGGAGGGTCTTTTTTTTTTCTTCTCCCTTAAAATGTGGTTATGGAGGGTTTAAGTTCCTAGTCAAGGTCTTACTAATTATACAATTCGTGATTACTTAGTACACCTTCCACGCATCGCACCTTTTTGTTAAATTATTTTAATTAACATTTCGCAAATTATATATAAATGATTGATATGTCTTGCTTCATGAGACACGTTGATGGGCTGTTCGGGGAAGCACTCGACATGCCAAAGGTTTTTTCATCTCAAGAGAAGGCCTTAAAGTCTCGGAGAGATCAACGTGCTATGCTAGCGCTAGAAGCCAACTGAAACAGTGGAGCAACAGTGCAAGCCACAATTCCACAGTGGCTAACCCTAGCGCTTTGCCAGGGCAGACCCTGCGACTTGACCCAACAGGGGCAAGCCTCAGATCGGAGCCCATGATGGAAGCATCCTCCGCCACGACAAACCTTTCAAGCCGAAAGGTCGACGGATTCATCCAAACAGATGGGTCATGGGTTATGGCCCATATGTTTACCGTTGCGGTGGTGCTAGCTGGGACGAGGACTTTCCCACATGGACATTGTGGGTGGTTAAGGGGGCCCATGAGAGTAGTGGCGCCGGGGGGTGCATCTTGAGAACTTCTGTCACTACTGCTCGAAGGTAAGGGAGGTTTGGGAGATCAGAATCTTGAACGGGCCCTGGCCTGCGGTGGCAGTGGCCGATGCAGGCGTCAATCTCTTGCTGGACTTTCGCTCGGATGTCTTGATGCAAAACCATCCTAGCCCTGATCCATTCCAACTGTGTCGTTACCTCGAAATATCATTTCTTGAACAAATATGAATTAAATCCTAATATATATGCGCACGTGTATATATATATATATATATATATATATATATATAAACATATCTCTCAATGATTGAAAGTAAAAAGCATAAGCCAATTTATTGTGTTTATGAATGAGTCAGGATTTATAAGTGAGTAGTCTACTATCTTGGATAACCTTGTATAGTTTTTTAAAATGAAAATCTTATATAATATATGATTAAAAAGATAAAATTATAGTCCATCCAAGTAACTTAAAAGGATACAAATAGAATTCCAATGGGATATGTATCTAACAGTCTATGCAATCTGCGAATGGCATCCAAGGAATAGTAAACAGGGTGGTGGAATATAAGTCATATCACTGGCGATTCATCATCGAATCTTGAACCTTTTACTCGCTTGCTTTGTTAAGGAAAAATTGACTATTTGACTCCAAAAATTTAGTCTTTTTGAGATGAATGAAAACTTAGACCTTTTCGATAAAAAATAGAGAACAAAAAATATATGAAACCTATAAAATGAACCTCTCTCGATCCAATGCTAATATCTCACAGTATCATAGTGTGCATAGTTATCAAGTCAAATGAAAAGCAACGCCGGGGGAACAAAAACAATCATTGTCTCAAAAACCCAAGCACAATAAAACAAGATTCAAGATGCTTTAGTTTTTTTTTTTTTCTTTTAATGGCAGCTTAACTATAATCCAAGATGCTTGCAAAGATATTTATGATAGGTAATATGTTTTTTATGATGCTTTATACGTTTGTTTTTTTGGTGATTATATATATGCTACTAATTAAAACAGAACACAGTTTATACTCCAAGTAATAAAATATATGTGTATCTCAAAGAGAGAGAAGGTCTTTACCCACAGTATAGCAACCTTGTCGGAATCACTCAACTGATCCTCTTTAGGCAAATATAACAAAGCACTAAGAAAGTCATTTCCACTATTGACATCTCCGGCAGCCTTTTTCCTTTTTTCCACAATTTGACCTACAATAGTTGTTACTTTGCCTGACAACTTATGATGCCTTCTTTTCACACCGTGAAAGTCTAAAAAGCTTAGGGGAAAATAGTCCTCCTATTTAAACTCAGTTATTAATTCATACCCTTTTTTCACCAATAACCCTAGCTCCTCCCATTGTAAACGCTCAGAACTCCCAAACACATTCTCTAGTATATTACGTAAAGAACCCTTTTGCAATATCCCTCTCAACTTTACCAACCCTTTCTCTTCCATTCCCTTCCTTACTTCCACTGACATTGCATCAGCCACTTGTTGCCGCAGAGACTTTAGACAAGAAATTCTCCTAGGGGAGAACATATGGTTCGCAGCAATCCTATGAAGGTGGCGCCAATATTGGCTAGAGGGTGCCAACACTCCTTGATTAGGCAGTCTAAAAATGAAGAACCTACAAGGATTTCCCTGGCAGTGTCAGGGTGGCTATTGATGATCACACTCCTTGTTCCTAGACTGAATGTCATGAGCCTAGTTGCACCCAGTGAAGTAGCCAGGTAGGCTAATTTACGATGAGCAAGTGACCCCATTTGAAGCAAGGTTCCAAGCAGAGGCCAACCGACTAGACCACGAACCTGGGGAGAGTAGACATGGTGGTTTCTCCATGCAAAGCCTCCAGGGATTAGCCAGTAGTTGAGGAAGAAAGGTGAAACAAATAAAAATGAGAATAAAAGTCGAGTGAAAGGCCATGGTGTTTGGTTTGTTGCGGGAACATAGCAAAAAAGCAATAGAGAGAGGTGATTTGCTAGCATCAAAAGCTTCATCTTCTGTGAAATTAGAAAAAGGATTTGACTATGAAGAAAAGTGTTACTGGAATTGTCTAGAGATGGACGTTTGTCATGAGGGGATTGTAATTCGGATGAATAGTATATATAGCACGTGGAAATCAGTAGTGGTTGAGGGGTGTGGTTAGGTTGCTAACCCTGATTAAAAGACGAGATCACCCTGCTCTCTGCAATCATGATCATTAGCTAATTAAACAGAGATTCGTATCATTTGTTGGATTAATTCTTTTTTTTCTTCTTTTTCCATTATAGACTTAGATTTTCTTTGTCAAAACCTGTTTGGTAAAGTCCCAATAGACCTTTGGATTCCATTTGAAAATAAACAGAAACTTTAAGTGATTCAACTTGGACTTATAATTTTACTTTTTCAATAATATAGCCCAATCCTTTATGGTTGTATACTGTGATTTACAGTTAAGATCTCCAAGTCCTCATACCAATTAGTACATTTTAATGTGAAATTAATCTTATTTATGTATGGATGCCATTGATAATGGTGAATAGAGATCAAAATATATATAATAGGAGAGAAGGAGGGACACAAGCTAGTCCATTCCTAACATAGAAAAAGGCATCGAACGGCTGGTGTTAAACTAGTGACTGGGAAAAGAGCCATGCATCACTGGACTGAAGCCATTTCTTTTTTTGCTAAGTCATTCATTAAAATTAATTAGTAGGTACAAAAGAAGGCCTATAAGCCATAGGAATAGCAACTGCAAGCAACAGATGAGAAGTAATCCTTACTGCGAGGAACATAATCAAAGGAAAAAACTGACGATAGACCCTGCCTACAAAATGAACCAAAAGACAATGCAACAAAGAGCAACAAGACGAATATGGTGTGGTAATCCGTAATTAGATAGAAAGAACTACAGGAGAGGTTGAAATCAATAAACCATTGAAGTAAAGTCACCACCAGGTGGAAAATGATGTGTTATTATCAACACCATACTTTGCCAAGGAATCAACAAAACCATTGCCTTCTCTAAAGATATGCTTAAAAGAAATCATACCTAGCATAATGCGAAGAGAATTTAATTCGTTAAAAATACTCCATTTGTCCCACGGTCACTTTTCAATTGAGTTAATCCATAAGATAGCAGTGCGTGAATCAGATTTAATGATTAAAGGATATGATGCGTAAAGGGAGTTAGCAAAGAGCTTTAGAGCCTTTAGAATAGCCATTAGCTTTGCGTAGTTGGAGTCATGTAAGCCAAGAGGGTAAAAGAATAAGCCAACTACATTACCATGAGAAACCGTACCTAGCATAATGCGAAGAGAATCTAATTCGTTAAAAATACTCCATTTGTCGCACGGTCACTTTTCAATTGAGTTAATCCATGAGATAGCAGTGCGTGAATCAGATTCAATGATTAAAGAATATGATGCGTAAGGGGAGTCAGCAAAGAGCTTTTAGAGCCTTTAGAATGGCCATTAGCTCTGCATAGTTGGAGTCATGTAAGCCAAAATGGTAAAGAAATAAGCCAACTACATTACTATCAGGATCTCAAAGAACATCACACAACTAGTAGGTCCTAGCTTGCCTTTGGCCGAGTCGTCAACTTAAATTTGAATTCACCAATGATTAAAGGATATTATGCATAAGGGGAGTTAGCAAAGAGATTTAGAGCTTTTAGAATAGCCATTAGCTCTGCGTAGTTGGAGTCATGTAAGCCAAGAGGGTAAAAGAATAAGCCAACTACATTATCATCAGAAACCGTACCTAGCATAATGCAAAGAGAATCTAATTCGTTAAAAATACTCTATTTGTCTCATGGTCACTTTTCAATTGAGTTAATCCATGAGATAGCAATGCGTGAATCAGATTCAATGATTAAAGAATATGATGCGTAAGGGGAGTCAGCAAAGAGCTTTAGAGCCTTTAGAATGGCCATTAGCTCTGCATAGTTGGAGTCATGTAAGCCAAAATGGTAAAAGAATAAGCCAACTACATTACTATCAGGATCTCAAAGAACATCACCACAACTAGTAGGTCCTAGCTTGCCTTTGGCCGAGTCGTCAACGTTAAATTTGAATTCACCAATGATTAAAGGATATTATGCATAAGGGGAGTTAGCAAAGAGATTTAGAGCTTTTAGAATAGCCATTAGCTCTGCGTAGTTGGAGTCATGTAAGCCAAGAGGGTAAAAGAATAAGCCAACTACATTATCATCAGAAACCGTACCTAGCATAATGCAAAGAGAATCTAATTCGTTAAAAATACTCTATTTGTCTCATGGTCACTTTTCAATTGAGTTAATCCATGAGATAGCAATGCGTGAATCAGATTCAATGATTAAAGATATGATGCATAGGGGAGTCAGCAAAGAGCTTTAGAGCCTTTAGAATGGCCATTAGCTCTGCTAGTTGGGGTCATGTAAGCCAAGAGGGTAAAAGAATAAGCCAACTACATTACTATCAGGATCTCGAAGAACATCACCACAACTAGTAGGTCTTGGCTTGCCTTTGGCCGAGTCGTCAACATTAAATTTGAATTGACCAATGATTAAAGGATATTATGCATAAGGGGAGTTAGCAAAGAGCTTTAGAGCCTTTAGAATAGCCATTAGCTCTGTGTAGTTGGAGTCATGTAAGCCAAGAGGGTAAAAGAATAAGCCAACTACA